TATATATTTTTTCCATCCTTTAACTTTTAATCTGTTTTTGTCTTTGTGTGCAAAGTATGTCTCTTACAGGCAGCATATTGAAGGATCTTGTTTTCTTATCCATTCTGCCACTCTCTGTCTCTTGATTAGTATATTTAATCCATTGACATTCAGTATAATTATTGATAGATATGAATTAGTTGCTGTCATTATGTTAGTTTTTTTGTGTGGTGTGGCTGGTTTCTTTGTTCTGCATGCCTTCCTGTGCTGAGTTCATGTTTTTTGTGCTCTTTCTTGTTAGTTTCTTCATAGTTTTAATGTTTCCATGTTTTTTGATTTTCATTTTATGGATATGTTGTGAAGTATTAATTTTCTTTGAGGTTACCTTATATTCTATTAACTCCTTCCTCCATTAAAACAGTCTGTTTTATCCTATAGTCTACCTGACTTCCTCATTCCCTGGATCACTGTTCCTATGTTTTCCCCTTCTTTCACATTGTAATTGTTTTGGTCATAGATTGACCTCCCAGATCCTCTGAATTCATTCTTTCAGTTTTGTTCTGTTCTGGATTCTTCCATCTGTAGATTGAGTTCCAGGTTGTGTTGCTACATATGTCAATCTCTGGTTGTTGTCTGTTCTTGTTTGTTCTCATGTCAAAGAACTCTCTTTAGGATATTTTGAAGCATGGGGTTGTCCATTTCTGATATTATTAATTATATGATTATTAATTATATGTGCCTCTTTTTGCAGGTTTTGAATTGTTTCCAATGCTATTTCTATCTTATTTGATTGATAACAGTTCTAATGGCAATAGTTTCCCATAGTATATCTTCTGTAGCTTCCTCCCACCACTTCTAGTTTGAATCTTTGGGTTATACCAAACAGGTCTAATTCCTCTTTCAGGAGACAACTCTTCCAGTATAGTATTTGTAGATAATTATGGGATGCTGGAAGCTATGCTACGGGTGTCTCAAATTCCAGCAGGACCATCCATGGTAGACAGACTTCAGCAAATTTTCCAAAATAAGAACATACTAGGAAGAAGAAATACACAGTTTACTTCTGAGAGATTAATCCCCGAAAACCTTATGAATAGCAGCAGAACATTGTCTGATATAGTGCCAGAAGATGAGCACCTCAAGTTGGAACACACTAAGAATACAACTGAGGATGAGGTGCCCCCTTAAAGTAGAGTTGACCTTAATGATGCAGATGGAGTATAGCATTGGGACATTAATTTGTTGTTGGGGCATGACTAGAAATGAGAAGAAATAGCTGCAAATATTTATTAAAAATTGAAATGTGGAATGTATGAATAATGAATCTGGGAAATTTGGAAGTTATAAAAATGAACTGGAATGCAATATGATAGATATCTTAAGCATTAGTGAGCTGAAATCAACAGGTATTGCACATTTTGAATCCAACAATCATATGATTTACAATGCCGGAAATGACAAACTAAATAGGAATAGTATTGCATTCATCATCAAAAAGAGCATGTCTGCAAAGAAGCTGAGTTAATGTAATGATTATTCAAATTTACACACAGTCACTGAAGACAATGAAGTTGAAGAACTCTACTTTTCCAGCCTGAAATTGATCAAACATGCAATCAAGATGCAGTGAAAATTACTGGTGAATGGAACGTGAAAATTGGAAACAAAAAGGAGGTATCCATTGGAGAATATGGATTTAGTGATAAAAATTATGCTGGGTATTGTGTAATAGGATTTTTCAAGAGCAATGACTTATTTCATGCAAATATTTTTTTCAACAACATAAATGGTGAGTATACAAGTGGACCTTGCCAGATGGAATAAACAAAAATTAAATTGACTACATGTGTGGGAAGTGATAGTGGAGAAACTC